ACCTTTGAGACTAACTGAAAGAAAGAAGTTGGCAGCATGAGTTTTCGTAGACTTGTCCACTTCCTCAGATGCTGTGGAAGTAGAGTGAAGTCCACGAAAGCTCATCCTGACAATTTCTTTCTTACAGTGAGTCCCAAAGGTGTGACGTTCCTCAGATGTTAAGGAAGTAGACTTTAGGGCCTTTACAGACTGCCAGAATAATGCAGCTTGAGGCCACTTTAACTGTCCTGGCTCAGTGCTAAGAGATCATGGGAATTGTATTTTTTTCTGGGACATTGAGCCTTCTCTTTCAGAGAGCTCTAGTGCCAAAATAAACGACAGTTTCCATGATTCCTTAGCACTGCGCCAGGACAGTTAAAGTGGCCTCAAGCTGCATTATTTCTGGCAGTCTGTAAAGGCCCTTTAGTCTCTCTGAAAGCTCATGCTGCCATTTTTTCAGTTAGCCTCAAAGGTGCTACATTCCTCAGATGCTGAGGAGGTAGACTTTAGTCTAGGAAAGCTCATTCTGCCAATTTTCTTTCTTTCATTTAGTCTCAAAGGCGCTACACGCTCTCTCTACCTACTGATTCTACAGACTAACACGGCTATATCTTTCAATTCTACCACTGTGTGGCCCTTGGCTGAGAGGATGTGACTTGCACATTAATCTGCCTATTGTTCTGTTGTTGAGGATAAGGCACCTCAAAATGGAGGACATCCCAGAAAAAAAGGGAGGATATGACCAAAAAAAAAAGCTCAAACACACTTGATAATATTAAATATAAATGCCTGCTTCTTGGGAATGCTCAAAATGGAGGACCTTTGGGAACAATTATTATATTTTATTGTTATTCTTATTTGTTGTAACCCGCCTCTATCTGCAGGGAGGAGGAAGGCTATAATTAAAATGTATTATTATTATTATTATTATTATTATTATTATTATTATTATTATTATTATTATTATTATTATTATTATTATTATTATTATTTATTTGGAGTATTTATGAATGCAGGTCACCTCCTGTCAAGGGAGGAGGCCTAGTGGCCCCTGAGGAGAACCATTTGTGAGAGGACCAAGCTCTCCTCATACACGCACACGCCGGGCGTCGCTCTCTCCTCCTTCCCCTTCGTTCCCGGCTATTCCTCCACTCCAGGCCCGGCTTCCCGGCGACGGCGACGGCGACGGCGAGAGGCGGGCGAGGGAAGGAGGGGAGGCGGGCCGGGGCTTCGTCGCTCGACGCCCACCAGGGGCTGAGCGAGCCTCCGCCAGTGCGCAAACTCGGGGCACCAGATAAAAGCTTCGCTGGCGGCTCTTGCTCTGTCTTGATGGAGCCGGGAGAACTGAGGGGCGGCAGGAGGGAGGCGAGGCAGAGGCAGAGGCAGGCTAATGCTGTGCCGCCGTCCGAAGGAAGACGCTGAGGCGGAGAAAGGCCCCTCTCGTTGCCCGCTGCCCGCCGGAGTGGACCCCGAGAAGGCGGCTGTAATGGGGGCGCGGAGGAGGAGGGGTGAGAAGGGGAGGGCGATTAAATGTCTTGTGACCATGGTGGAGTGTGTGGATGTTTTATTATTACTATTATTATCATTATTAATATTATTTTCGTTCCCCTCCCCCATTCTCTCCTTGTGTGTATTTTCCTTTCCTTTTTTAAATATCTTTAGAGGCTGCTTGGTGGGGCTGCTACTCGTTGTGTCGTTGGAAATGGAAATGAAAATGGCGACGGTGTGGTTGTGGTGTTCTATGGCGGCCCCTCCTCTTCCTTCCCCCCCCTCCCTTTTCTTGCCGCGAAGGCAGTTTCTCCGCATCGAACCGCGGAGGAGGTGGCGATGGAAAGAGACGGAGGGGGGGCAGGGAGCCAATGGGCTCTCAGGATGGACCTTGGAGGTGCGCTCTGATTGGCCGGCGCTGACATCATCCTGCAGCAGGGGCGACGAGGCTCCTGGGTAGGGCTGAGGGGAGCTGCGAGGGGCGGCTGGCGCAAAGGGAGAAAACGGCCGCCATGATGGGAGCGGGACGGGAGGGCGCTCCAGAGACGCGCTTGGAAGGACCGGCGTTAATGGAGAGGCGAGGAGAGGAGGGGCGGCCCGAGTCACCCCGACTCTCCTTTGCCGGTGGGGTGGGAACGCAGAGGAAGACCCGTCCGGCGGCTTCATTTTTGCCCGGTGGCTGTAACTGCGTCAGTCCAAGATGGCGCCGGCCGTCCCTGGAGAGGGAGGAGAGCTGCACGTCCGCCGGAGGTCATGTGACCGCGTTGCATTCTTGTGTGGGGCTTGGCCGAGGCTCTGGAGGAGGAAGAAGGCGGCGGCGGCGTTTGTGGTGTTTTTGTCTTGACGGGGAGAGCCTCCCTTGCTGCTGCGGGTGCCCTTCCTCTCTTCCTCGGAGGCCGCCTCTCCCAAGTAGGGGGCAGCAGCTGTTATGGGAAGCGGTGGTCTTTCACCCCC